CCTGTTTAGTTCAACTCAGTTTAAAATTGGTTTCCTCAAAGAAGTTGCTTATAGCTATGTGTGACAACTTCAAATTTAGCAAAATAAAATTATAATCTAATGATTACTTGAACCCTTTTAAAGATTCAATTGGTTTTCATTTTCTGTCGCTAAATTTCATCCAGGTAAACCTGGTGTAACTAAACATGCTTTTCTGGTTTTCTGGTGTGACTGTGGCATTGGACACATGCATTGTACATACCTCAGAGACCAGAAACATCATCAAGAATTTTTGACTGAGAACTCCTAATGACTTGTCTTTTCTGCAGTATTCACTGTCTGTAAAGAAAAATTAAAAATAAATGACAGGGCTCGTTAGCAAGAATGGCTGTTTGAAATATTGGTCTTTAATAAATAATTTTTTAATTACCACGTTGTCCTACTATCACTGATGATAAAAATTCCAAAATGAGTGCATCTGGGATATTTGAAAAGATCGAAGGAATTCTACAAACCTTTAAATTTAAGATTTTTACCACCTTTTTCCTCTACTGCACTGTCTTTAATAGTTGTGGGTGGTGGCATGAGATTGTTGTTCATTTGGGACACTTCAGGTTTTAAAACTTGCACAAGGGACATGATATTAGAATCCTTTGGGAGTATAAGTGGTAACTGGCTAGACAATGCTGACCCAACTGGAACCTTACCCTAGGAAAAAAAAAAGTTTCAAAGTGTTTTAGATTGGCTGGATACATAATGTGAACAAAAGTAATAGAAAACTGATGTTCGTTTATCTCATGACCTGCCACATAGAGACACTCATCGGAAAAATCATTTTAAGCACACATTTAAAGATTTTTTAGTTTGATTATCAGGAAGTTTTGCAACACTTAATGATGTCTTACTCAGCCACATAATGTGTTACTCTATAATGTATATGCAAGATCAAACTTTTCATCCAAGTTGAAAATACTTCTCAAAATCAATTTGACAAAACTTGCCATCTGCAGTAAGAATTCTTGGTTACAGCAGAGAAAACTTCATACCTTACAATTATCATAGCAAGAAAAGATAATCTTGCCTTTGTATGGACATAAATACCTTTATCTTGATTACCTTTTCTTTTTTCATGTCTTTTGATTTTGGATTTTCCTTTGCTGAATTTGAGGGCTTCAATTTTAGGCCTTTTGATAAGGCATAGTGCTGTTTTAAACAAGGTGAGAAGAAAAAAAAGAAAAAAAGAATGAGTAGAAATTATGAGTTTGAAAACATGCCTGCTTCTTGTACCTCCCAAAAATTTTATTACAGTTCAGGATCAAGATGATCAGGACCCAGCCTACTGTGATTATATCAAAGTTTAAAAGGTAAAAACTCACAAAAGGTTGGCAATGACCTAAGCAATTTTAGGTTAAGACAAGGAGAACATTCTGTTCTTTTGCTATTACATTTGTAATGAAAAACATTCCTGTTACCCCAGTTTAGTTCACAAGAACTTGAATTCATTACATATTGGAGGGGAATCATGACAATCACAACTCTTGTTGTTTTATGGGTCTATATATATCTAAACTCTGTAATAGCCTGTCACTAAGTCAAAAGAATTTTAACTTAAATATTACCCACATTGAGGTGGGCTTTTGAAGTTTATTTTAATGTTTACCTTAAGCTTTATTAGAGTAGAGGGAAGTCTTGATTTTCCATGCCAGACATATCTGTTCTTTGCATATCTGCTTATAACTTCTACACTTTCTAAAACATTCACAATGTCATAGATTCGCCTCCTTTCCACATCTGTAGAATAAAATTAGAGTATAAATTTTAAGTCCAATCTGGTCCTGCTTTGAGATACTCTGCTTTTGACTTGATATTTGCACTATGCACTTTACATGAATTTTCCTAGCCAAGAATCTATATCCAATACTGGTAGATTACTTATATCAACAAAACAAACTTGAAGATTGGGACAGAAATAAGTTGATTTTGCCTAGAGGGTAAAAAGGTACTTTTTAAGAATCACTCTTCAAAATAAATACAACTCTCTCTGGATGGTAGACTAGCCTTGGGAATAACCAGAAATAATGTAAATTAATTTAGCAGGTTTGAAAATTGGACAGGATTTGTAGCTAACTTGAAACAATGTAAATTAATTTAGCACGTTTGAAAATTGGACAGGATTTGTAGCTATACTAACACAACTGAACCGAACTGAATAACTATACAACTTCATTTGTTGTGTATCTCCAAATAAGAATATTTTTCTTACTGAGGTCCCTCGCCACATCATCAAGGCCAATCTCGATAAACTCATTTGCCTTTGGGTATTCTGGATATTTGGACAGAAACCTGTGGAGAAAAGGGCAGTATTGTAATTTGGCCATTCTGCGAAACGTGACTGCACTTATTACTTAACGAGTCGGTAACGCCATCTCGTCGTTACGAAGGACAAATAATATCGTCGCTCCTTTATTTCAGTAAGAGGAAAGAAATAGTTTTCGTATTCTTACTTTATCGAAATTCAAATAATCAGTCGGTATCATTATCACAATCAAACGAAGGACAGTCGCTTTTTGGCGCGTAATCAACATGTCTTCACCTCTCATTACGAATTCAAACATTGCCACGTTTAACCTGATTTGGCGCTAAACGGTCGATTGCGATACAACGCGCCTATTTGAGAATTTTACTTACTTCTGACATAGAAGCCCCAATGACTTGTCTTTTCGGCTGATGGTTATCTTGTTTCCTCCATACTCAACATGAGATGATTCATCGCTCAAATGCCGTTCACTTACGAGCGCATCAGATTGTCTTGAATTTGAAATTAGCGCACTCGCCGCTGAGTGAAGTGTCTCAAAGGTGTCAAAACTTTCACCTGGAAATAATTCTCTTTTCTTGGTTTCCCGATCGCGGATTGCTGGACTGGCAGCACTAACGAGCATTTTAAGGTTAGCTGTAGGAGTTAAAGGATCGTCTCCCGTCTGATTTAACGAGTTCTTTCCTGCTTCGGCGACCTTTGGAGGTGTAACTGGCGGCCCTCGATTCCAGATACTATTCAGCTGATTTGTAGTTTGACTTTTGCAATCTTCGGTGCTGCGAGCTAGCATTAGTTCCTTCTCATCCATCGATGACTCAAAAGTACTTAGATTAGTTCCTCCACAGTTTGTAGCTATAGAGGAAAGCTCCGCCAACGAGGGATATCGACGCAAAGGAATCGAATGCGATGAACTATCACACACACTTTCAGTCTCGTCATAGTCGCCTGCTGTATAATCAGTTTTGGAGTGATCGCTTACATCCAAAGCGACGAACGTCTGTGTAACTGTTTTAGATTCCATAATCTTCCTAAAATAAGTCGAATCGGAAGAAGATCATTTGCAAAGTTTTAACAAACGAATGGGAAATAGGAAGTTTGAATTTACAAAAATATTAATAAATCGTTACATGGAAATGACAGAGTTCAGTTAGCGCGTCTTAGCTTGATCGTACCGAAAGACTGTCTTGTAATATGACTTTGAAATGTTTTTTAGTGTAGAAAATATTACTCAATTCGTCTATTACTTCAATCAAATGAGAGATGGATCGGAAAAAAGATGATCAGCCTGTATAGAAGAAAATGTAGCAAATTGAAGTGCTTATTGGCTACAAATTTTATGAGGCACCAAGCTTTATGCTCGGAGCAGATGATCACGTTATTACAGTGTGTAACTTACCAATTGATTTAAAAATCCGTCACCTTCGCCCAGGGAACAGGAAACTGTAGCGTTGTTGAAGGTTCATATGGATCAGTTTCACTAAAGAAACTGCAAGAAGCTAAACTAACTGAAATATCACCTCTCCTTTCTCTCGTAGTGCAACGAAACCGCGTTATGAAGCGGTTGTGAATTTTTGGCGCGTTCAATTTTACGCGGGGGATTCGACTCGTCACTTAAGCTCCATTATTATCCAATGAAATTCTCTCAATAGCCTCATGTGATTTAGTCTAACAGACTGGCCAGGCACCTTAGCTAGAACTCAGTTTTTCAGCAAGTAACGGTCAAGCTCGGTTACTGAGCATGCACGCTTTGCGCGCTTTAACAAAATGGCGGCCACAAGGGGAGGTAAAATTGAATTTGTGTTGTAATCATTTTGGAACGTTGTGGTTAAATGCCTTTACTCACTTATTTAGGAACATGGAGGCCGTACAAGGAGCTTCAAGCGACGGTAGAACGAGCTTTATACAAGAAAACTTCAGAAGATTTTCATGAACTCGAGGTTGCCTTGAGGAAATTCAAACCAGATTTTACTACTTTGCTCAAAAATCCGGTACGTCAAATTACTGATCATGATTTTTTTCTTTCACATATCGTTGCGACTATATAATGCGCTCTACCAAAATAATCTGAAAAGTTGATCCATAAACTGTCGTTGGGTTTTTGTTAAAGCTCCTCGTTTTCGGTCTGATCTGACTTTCGTTCGAATTAAAGTCAGATCACGACTCGTAGGACGATACTGGGTATAAAAAGTTCATAGAACTTCAAGAAAAAGGATAGAAACTAGAAATGAGGGTTATCAACTATATTTGAAGATCTTAGTTGTTAAGCATGACTTTGCTCAGCAGCTCAGGCAGCTTAAATTTAAGTTACTACAAAGTTATGCATCAATCAATTCAAAGTTTCAACATCCTCTCGCCGGGCACCCCTACCCCTGGGCATTTTGAGTTTTGAAGATTGGTTCATTCAAATTCCTGCATCTTCTGGGGCCAAAGTACTGTTTAAATACTCCACCCAAGTGCCAGATTTGATGGTCAATTTTTTTGTAAAAGGTAAGATCAGTAATTGGCTTTCTACTCATTTCATTTTACCACTCAGGGTTTAAACCTTGACCCTGTAGATGCCCGTGAAAGTGAATTCTTTATCTTTTAACTCCTCCCTAGTAGAAGATAACACTCGTATTTTCTGGAAAGACTTGATGTTTCTGGTCCCCCTCCCCTCCCTGGCAAGGAAAGGGCCATCAAATGCTTGTGGGTTGCCAGGACAGGGATGTTAATGCTATGTTTTCACTGGCACATTACTACCTAAACCCCTGTTCAGATGTACTGTAAGTCTTACATGTACCTGAATTGTAACACTTGACAACATGTCGTGGAAACTTCTTGTTGTCTTAAATTTCTGACATTCCTTGCCTCAATTCACTCTTACTCTGACTGCATTCTCAAAGTGATAAGTTAAGGATGTAAAATTGAAACCTGAGGGAGAATCTATAAATACTAAACTTACAGTAAGTCCCAAGGCTGTGCTCAAAAAAAAAAAGTTGAATGGAGCCCTCTGCTCTGAAACTGTGAAATCCAGGGTGCACACCTTAGACTTCCTATGAAAAAACTAAGATTCCTAAGTCTTCCAAGAGCAAAATTAAGGCACCAGGGGTCACCAGGTGCTGCTAGACCACAGCCCTGAGTCCCCTTTCACCCTTCCCCCCCACCAAAAACAAATAAACAAACAAGCAAACAAAATTGAAGTTGAGTTGAGCCTTATTTAGAGATTCCCACAATTACTTAATTTGTAGTGCTTAATGTCAAAATGAACCTCCTTTTCTTTCCTTTAACTTGTAGGCAAAAAATTCTGACCACCGAGAGCAATTGAAGAGAGCCCCAACTACTGGTCTTCAACTTGCTGGCTATACAGAGAAACAGAAGCTTCCCGAGCGGTTTGTGCAGGAGACCCTCATTCTTAGTGACATTCTTGAACTGAATGAATTTGTGTGTGTGGAGTTGCTTCTTGCTGGTGAACAGCAGCAACCTAACTTTCCTGGTCTCACCAGAGGTTTGGTGGCAGTACTTTTGTATCATGATGGGCGGAGATGTTTGATTAGTGCTTTGAAAACAATGATACAGTCCCGAGAGGGAATAACATGGACGTTGGGTCTCTACGAAGAAATGTCACAGCTAGTAACCAAATTCAGTAACGAGCTTTTGGAAGAAGGTAATAGGTTATACACAGAGCTGGGTTTGGCAACATATTGGTTTCATATTAAGTTCAACACTACAGTGCTGTTTATCTAAAAAAACTGTTAAGAGAAGAATGGTATATTGATAACTATTGATAGGCCAACACTTGTTACAACAGAAGCCAAACTATTCACCCATTTTCAGGGCTTTACACTAACAGTAGCCAACTAGCCACAGACTAGTACAAATTCAGTTTTGGCTAGTGGTTTTCTGTTGAGCCCTGATTTTTATTGTTTCATATTAATTTTCTGGGCCGGGTTGTTCAAAGCTGTGTTAAGATAACCCAGGGTTAGTGTGAAATTTGATTTCAGATCTGAAAGCTCTGAAAGAAAATTCAGCTTAATTCCATTTGTCTACAATTTGATGATTGAATGTCCTAAAAAGAACTAGGAAAATTATCCTAAAATGGCTTTTGATTAGAGAAAATAATTTAGAAACCTGGATTAAAATTTAACCCTGAGTTAGAGCTAATGGGCCTTTGAACAACTAGGCCCTGATCTTTTGGAGGACAGACATATCTATCACATAATCATTACCACAATTCTGCTTCTTTATTATGTTGAACTATTAATGGTAAGTGGCCATACATGTATGTGTGATCAGTAATACACCACAGGTGACATCAGCATGCGGTAAGAACATCTGAAGGGACACACAGGGCTGTGGCTTGTGAGCCCTTTTGTTTTAACCACATTTGACCACATCTGAAGGGACACACAGGGCTGTGGCTTGTGTGCCCTTTTGTTTTAACCACATTTTGATGTGAAACCTTACTGAACAGAGGCATGGCAATATGGAATCTTTTAACTTTCTGTTACAAGACACGTGGCATCACGTAATCTACACTATTTTTGAAAAAGATAGTTGGCAACAGGAATCTTGCTATTAAGTATACTGTACTTGATTGTCATTTCAGGATTGGTAAAGATAATTTTTCAACAACTTGAGCAACTTGATGTTCAAAATGAACTTGACAAGCTGGAAAGAGGACAAGCCATAGGTGATGAACGCCACAAACAGCAACTCATTGACTTTATCACAGATCAGAGACAGCTCCTGGCGGAATGTCTCTTTTGCTTTGCTTGCCAATCACCACTCCCAAGGAGTGACAGTCTACAACTGTTGTCTTTTCTCAAGAAATGCCCCTCTATAGATGCTAATGGCTCACTCGACAGTGTTTCTCTTACTCTGTTAATGGCTATGTTGTACTGTTTAAATGTTGATCCTCTTGATGAAGCAGCAGAGATGCAGGGGTCTTTCCAAGGTGTGCTCAATGATTATGTCTTGTAACATAACCTTTGTAAGAAGCTAAATGTGTATCATGATATTTTGAATCACTCATGTCATTTAAGAGCATGAGCTTGAATTATGAACGGAATAAAAACCTGAAATAATAATTTTGTAACTAAAGGTAAATGACACAGAAGGAAGATAGAGATTGTTTTGGAGTGGAAATGATAAACTTGAAATAATTAGGCTTTGGCTGTGCCTCATGAGTCCACAACACTTTGACCCTTGTGATGATGAATATTGTTGTTGATAAGAATACAGACCACCTTAAACCACTGTGGCTTTGTTAATTCTCTTGTAACCATGTTGGTTTACGGTGTTTGTTCTTTTCTTTTTGTCTTACAGAGGAAATGTTTCCTTTGTTGACGGACCACAGCTTCATTCCAGACTTTCATCAGGAAATTATGGGGCAGGAAACATGGGAAAATCAAGGGATGCGTGCATGTGTTCGTTTTGCTTGGGCCTTGGTACTACGAACCTGTAGCCAGTGGCCTAATATTGTTGGAGCAGTAGAGGTACTGGAGGAAGAAGAAGGAGTGTTGGATCTGGCAGTGGAAGAAAATGTTTTGAGTTTCCTTCGATACTGTGTGGTACGAGCCACCAATTTTCATCAGGAGGTACAGTTGTATGTTATAGTTTCTCTTTGAGCATTATATGGAATGTGTACATAAGATGAAAGTGAAAAGGGTGTTACGTACTTGGCGCGTGGATTGGATGTAATATCATTCTGATCACTGTAATGTAACGAATCTAAAGGCTTCACATTTCTGTGAGTAAAAGTCTAAAGCAATAATCTCATTTACTTCAAAACATTGTAACTTTTGTTTTTCAGTTTTCAGACCTGTCCTTGTCCCATAGACAAGTTGTGTTGAAGATCTGACTAGTTCTCAGCAGTAGATTTAAACACTTCCAGGTCATTGAGCCATGAGTGTTGAGGAACCTTTGCTAACTCTAAGTACAGCATTGATCTGTGCTTTGGTGCTAACAATATGACTTGGTTCTCTGCAGGAGTATTTTGTCCAACGATTACACTCACTTGTTACTGGATTTATTGTCAAGATGCCTTTAAAGGTATTTTAATATTATTTACATTAAAATTTTTAGTTTGAGATTTAATATTAATAGTTCAGTAAAAACTTTGTTGACATTTTGACCCTTTCTAGGATGTTTTCAGTATACAGCATGACTCCTTTAAATGCCCCTTGATCTAACACACCAAAGCATCTGATGAATTATACAGTAGAGCCTGGCTAACGCCAACTCCCTGGGGAAACACAAAATGGCAAAACAGTTTGAGTTAACAAGGGGGGTTTGAGTTATTGGAGTTGGTGTTGAACTTTTGTCATCCTGTTAATAATCATGAAATCCATGGGAATCCCTTGAATCTGCTTGAGTTAGCACTGATTGAGTTTGAGTCAGCAGGGTTCTACTGCATGCACACTGTACTTTTAAGTATGTAAGTTTCAAATCCAGTTAACCAATTGTTTTTTTTTTTTTAATCCCAGGTTAAAGAACTGCGCAACCATGGTGATGAAGCAGCACGTATTCTCCAGGCACACTTGCAGGATGGTGTGGAGCCCCCTGCTGACTTGCCAAGACACTTTGAAGATTTGATGAGAATGGTAGGAGCCCACTTACACATAACTCTAGTCATAGAAACTCAAATGTTGTCAATCAGTACAGTGCTATCCTTTACTTAGAATAAGTTGGCTCAAACTTATAACATGTTCCCTGTCAAATCCCAAAAGGTAAATTTTTATTCAAGCCTTTCTTGTTTCTTAGTTTTTAGTTTTTGTAAACCCCCACTTTGTCTTGGTTTACGCATTTAAAAAATTGGCAGAATTCAGCCTTTGTGACTTTGAACATGGTTTGTAATACACCTATATCAACTTTATTTATGTAGCTAATTTTTCAGTATTCGAGTGTCCTGACTAATCTTATTATTTATAGATAACAGGGCTCAACAGTAACTTTTCAACTTACTAGCCAAGTAGCTAGTGACAACTTAGATGTTACAACAATTTCAGTTTGTTTACTACCCAAATTGGCCAGTGGAAATTGAAAACCACCAGCCAAAACTGGATTTCTACTAGTCTGCAGCCAGAACAGTTACTTGGTGACCCTTAGTGTGGAACCCTGGATAACTTTTCGGAATACCTTTGACACTGTACCTCTGTACACAAGTGCTTTAATGTTTTTGAAATAATGTATTTCGTCCACAGATTGGAGAGCTATATGAGAATAATTCACTTGGTCTTGAACTTGCTGTAGATTTTTGGTGTCCCTTGGACCCAGGCTCTTTCACTCCCTTTTCACCTTACAACTCATCAAGAATTTCACCAACTTTCAGACCACGTGCATCTCAGAAGCAAGTAAGGAAACAATGCATTGCATTTATTTTCCAGCACCCAAAGCTTAAATTGCATTATTTTAAATTATTTATTTAATCTTCTCAGGAAGTCATTACAACTATAGGAAGGTTTGTTGCTATGTACCACACTTATGATTTATACAGGGCTCTACACTAACTTTTTAACTAACTAGCCCAGTGGCTAGTGAAAACTTAGATGTTAGTACAATGTCAGTTTGTTTACTAGCCAAACTGACTTGTTAAAATTGGAAACCACAAGCCAAACCAAAACTGAATTTCTACTACAGTGTTCGTACAGGTCATGGAAAAGCTGGAAAGTCATGGAATTTTAAAATTTCATTTTCCAGGCCTGGAAAGTCATGAAATTTAGGTGTGGGTCATGGAAAGTCATGGAAAATCAATATGCTCTCTATGAGTGAAAGGCAATAAGACCAAAGGTTGAAAAGTTAACTGACGAGTCCAAAAATCAGTTTTAATTTCATTAAAAATAAACAGAAGCAATCATTGTGAGATTGTTTGCAAACAGGTCATGGAATCTTTTAAAAGGTCATGGAAAAAGTCATGGAAAGTGATGGAATTTTATCAGGTCAAAAGTGTACGAACCCTGTACTAGTCTGGCTAGTTGGCTACAGTTAGTGTTCAACCCTGTTATATACTAATCTTGCAGGATAAAGAAATTTTAAGTTTCTGTTGGTGCTTACTATCAGGGCAAATTCCCAGACAAAGCATGCATCAATTAATTCAAGGCCCTAGTTGGATTTAAATTTCTCTGGTGCCTCCTAAAGATAGCAGGGGTGGCTTTGCTGTCTGCTTCTTTAATGGTGCAGCACTTATTGTCAAGTAAATTTTATAATTCACAAATCCTTAAATCAAGGATGCAAGTGTAACTTTACCAACAAATAACAAATAAAAAAAGTGAACAAATATTGACAAAAGACATGGAAGAGTTGCTCTGCAGAAATCTTTGACCAATTGTACAATGTATGCTTAGTTCTTTCTTACATCCCTAATTTCAATAATTGTTTTTTTTTTTTTTTCAGGTCAGCCTCTACAAATTTGTGCGGCTGGCTGGAGATCTACTGCCTGCTCCACTATTTGTTCCATACATTGAAATGCTGTGTGGCCTCTCAAACAGCCCTCAAGCTGCTCATCACTGCTTCAACTTGCTCAAGTCTACAGCTAATGGTCCTCTCTCTTGGGATCACTTCTTTGCTTCCATCAAACAGTATTTTATGGATCTAAGACAAGATGGTGCAAACACAGGTGATACTTCTATTTCTGATGATTTTTCTCCTCTCTCTTTTCATCAGTACAGACCCAACACAGGCATCATTATTGTTTCATGTTCAAACCAAATCTTGATTGAAAAAACACAGCCTGGTTTTTGGAGGGTAATTTTGTGTTAATGTTAATTAATGGCTATAGACTAGTGTAATAGATGTATGGGATGATGTGCATAATTATTTTTGGTACACAATGCAATTTACACAATATATAAGCTAGGCATTTCCAATTCATGGCCTGTTTCTTTTATATTACCCTGATTGGTTTCTTGTAGTGCAATTTTTTGTTAATATTTATGTTCATGTCCATGTCTCTTAGTGATGATGTATGGTGGCTTGGCGCGAGAAACAGGCCAGGTCCATAGACCACACCTGGCAAATCGTAACATAACACCTGAGGAATTAGAAGGGCTGGAGGCAGTGTTAAAACTCACAGAGAGAGTTGCTGATCAGGTGATTTTGAAGAGATAGATTGTAAGAACTTGCCAAAAGTCTGGTCACCTTTACTGTTAGTATTGTTAGTTCTCCTATTAACATCTAGAAGCAGAAACAAGAAATCTGTCAAATACCACACTGGAATGGTACCTTTGAATCTTTGAAGATATCACACACATTCTTCAAGAGGTGTGCAAGGTGGATGGTAACAGTAAAATTGCTGTTGATCTACAGTTCATTGAAATCTTAGAAGACTTAGAGAGCTTTTTAATCGGATGCGATTACCACTGACTGTTCTTAAATGTTTATAGGATGAAAAAGCCCGTCTTACAATGTGTGAAAGCCAAGCTTGGCTTCCCATTGCATCCCTTTTCGGCCTGCTTGGTTGCCCTGTGCCTCTTAGGCTTAAGGCACAGATTCTCTCGACACTTGCAGCTTTTGCCAAGTCTCCAGAAATTGCTTCCTCTTTGTGGCATACCCTGGAATTATCACAGGTAGGGCCAGGCATTGTGCATCTTTATGAGTTGTGTGTAAGTTTTTGAAAAGTCTGCAATAATTGCAAGTTGAATAAGGTTGACAAATTGTACATATACATAGAGCTATCAGTAAACAAGCTTCACTGAAAATTTGCCCTCTATCTGTAGAATTACTTCATAATTTATTATCACCTCTCAGTTATCAAGAAGCATACAGGAGGATCTGATGTGGCTGTGCATCTCAGTAACCTTGCTTGCTAGCTAGCTCTCAAACTGCAAAATTTGATTTGTTCCAAACTCAAGTCAAAATGAAAAACAACTCTCTTTATCCATCCATTGAAATAACTAAATTATGGTTAGGATGTTTCTATGTTTCTATCTATTTATTAGTACTGGTACTATCAAAATAATGTTAACTCTTCTTTTACCTTAGACATTGCAGACAGTCCGAACACCTGGGCAGGCTGCACAGCAAGGTGGAATACAGGTGAGTAGTTACTACCATGATGATAGGTATTGATCTGACAGTGGGATATTTCTGAATACATATATCTTATTAACCAAGCGCAAGGGCCATACTGGGAGAATATCAGCCCGAGGTCTTGACAGTACGGACCAAGCGTAGTGAGGTCCGTTCAAAAAAGACCAAGGGCCGATATTCTTCCAGTGCGGTCCCAAGCAAGCTTGGTTAATAAGAGATTTATTATACAACTGAAGTTCAAAGGGACACAAGTGCGGTATCATTCGGGACCATTTGGGACAGTGCCCGGTCCAATACTGAGAGAATATTGACCGGCAATAGAGCATTTTGATTGGTTGATTTTAGTTATTGGCCCTCTGACTGCCCGAGTTGTGTAATAAAATGATTTATACTTCTTAACCTCCCAGGGATCAACATTAACTTTTCGACTTACTAGCCAAGTGGCTAGGGACAACTTAGATGTTACAACAATTTCAATTTGTTTACCAGCCAAACTGGGTGGTGGAAATGGAAAACCACTAACCAAAACTGAATTTCTACTAGTCTTTGGCTAGTTGGGTACCGTTAGTGTTGAGCCCTGCCTTAACACTTTTGGTCCTATGACTTACTACAGTAGCTTCAAGTAAGTTTTGCATTGTTGTGCACTAATTTATGTTTGTATCTTTCTGCCATGACAATCAAACTCTGTAGAAAAATTACAAAATGTGATATTGTTATTGAAAGTATTGTTAATTTCTTTGTATTTTTCAGGTGGAATTGAATGAGCTTGAAGCTCGCAGTGAGACATACCCTGAGACCAGAGCATTCCTGAAGCTGCTGACTAATCTTACAGATATTCCCCTCCCAGTCAACTTGGGAGCAGGCTACAGGGTGCCTGGGTTTGAACCATACCTGGCATTCCTACGAGATGAGGTGTTTCTAAAGTTCAATTCAAGAGGATATCAAGATCCTCATGAAAAGGTGGTGCTTTTTTTTTTCTTTTTTTGAGGGAATTAAATATTACTGTTAGTACAAATTGACTTTGTCAAAAGTTAGTGTGCCCCAAAACTACAATTAAATTCAAAACTTCAAAACTTGCTGGATACTGCAGTTAAATTGTACGGAGATACTGCATCTTTATTGCTTCTGTGAGTCCTCAGGGTTACATTTTCCTTACTATGGTCATTGGTGTTTTACTTTTGTGTCGACAGTGGAAAGTTGCCAGTGCTGTTCTACAGATCCTCTTCAAGTTACTGGAAGGTTACAGTCCGAAACCAGATGATTTTGTGGACAAGTTTGTTGAAATTCAGGGAGGAGAGCAGATGAAAGTTCCCAAACCTCCTGGATTAATTCTCATGACTTACATGTTAAATGACACACCAATGTTAAAAATGGTCAGTTTTTTTTATGTTTTGTAACTTTATTGAAATAAAATTTTACCCAGCTTTATTTATTCTTATTCTTATTTTTATTATCATTACTTTGTATATTCCCACCATCACTATCACTTTATTACATGTACTTTTAAAGTTTATGAACCATGCCTTCATGTGATTATTCTGATATCAAAATAGCATATTTAGCCATCCCTTATGCAGTTCAGGATTTGTTGTTTAATTTGTTTGTTTTTTCAACATTCCATAATTTGTGCTCCACTTTTTGGTATATAATACAGTTGTAAGACAGGTGGCCTAAACAAAGGTTTTACTTTCTAAGTTGTTCCAAGGTCAAACTTCCATGCCAAGTCATGATTGATATGATTAATACTGCATTTGTTTTTATTTGTCAGTTGCTCAATGTTATTGATAATGCTTCATCTTCGCTTGAATATCTCTCCGTCACATCAGGTGTGTAGGTGCACAAAATATTCATTAGATGATTTGATGTGGATTGTTATGCTTGTGCATTAGTGGTGAAGGGTGAGCAAAGAGGTTTTACAACATGATTACCAATAAACTATCCCAGAGCTAAAGTACTTTTTTTTATTATTAAGATAAATTATTTGATTTAATAGTTCTTTAGAGAGGTTTACAGTTTAGCTTTTGTTTTCTTCAGTTTTGCTTGAACAAAACTGCTTCAAAATATTTAACTTCCGTAGACCTTAGACCAAAATTGCATTTTTCACACAAGAGAAGTCACAGTTAAGTTTTAAACTTGTATTCCTGGTTTTGTGCTTTCTGTCCATCATGCAACTGGCATCCGATAGTTTAATGGTGGGTTGAAATTTATGAGGTTCATCTTTAGAGTGAATTTTTTAAACTGTTTTAGAGGGAAGAGAACATCTGGAAAAAGCAGCATTGCTTTGCCTGAGAATGATTGAAATTGCATTGGAGAAACAAGAGGAGTTTGTGGACTTGTATCGCAGTGTACCACAACAATCAACAGTGATGATCTCCCCTTTAGAGGAACTGCTGCTCAGTGTTAATCCACAGTCAGGCTCCCCAGACTACCTGCTTAAAATCATGAAGTGAGTACTGATATGAGTAAAGGCTGATAGTTTCTAAAGAAACTGTTTGGGGCTGCGTCGGTAGGGGTAACGAAATAATTTGGATATACCAACGAAGTTGAAATGGTAAATTGGCCACCGTAACGATTACAAAAGGTGACGTTTCGAGCGTTAGCCCTTCGTCGGAGCGTTACGTTGGCCAATTACGGTGGCCAATTTACCATTTCAACTTTGTTGATATATCCAAATTATACTGATATGAGTACTTTGTTTTCCCCTTTTTTAGTCCTGGAACAGTATAGTAACTGTCTAATGATTAGAATGATAGCTTTGGTGGTGAGGAATGCAAACAAGGTTCCCACTTTGTCACTGTTTGTTCATAACTTTTGATTGGTTTCAGATCATAACATTTCTGGAACGTCACAAAGTAATTTGTCGTTCATATCTCTAACTCGCCAATTCTTCTCTTAAAACAAGATATATTGTGGCTGTAATTACGCGGGGAACGTTGTAAATTGTAAGCTTTCAGAACCTATCTCTTAAATTATTTGCAACTCTTGGATGAAGTTACTTCCGCAAAAAGAAGGCGTGCCCTAGGAAGAGGATGGAGATAATTATAGTGATTTGTTGATGCATACTCGCTGTGATAATGGAAGATTCTTGTATCGGGGAAAAAAGTGCTGGCACAGGGTAACTGGAAAATCAGGAAAAATTGTGTAATTCTTCCTGGAGGGATCGGAACTGTGTGTAGTTAACAAATGGTAAACACCACAACGTACACAATTTAACGAATGATAAACGTCACAGCTACACTATTGAGTTATGGATGCGAGAAGTTGCTAAGCACGAAAGAAGCGTAAGAGTCACGTGAGGCGATAGCTGAGAGCGACTCTAGCTTCTTGAATGCTTAGCAAATCTCCAAGGGTACGCTGTGGTGTTTACCATTTGTTTTATAACATAACATTGATACATTTAAGCAAGAGAGTTACCTTTTATTTAAAACTGAAATCTTACGTTACCAGTAGAAACAAGCGCGCGGAAACTAGTCTTTACACTTGCCTACGTCAGCAGCGCACACCCATGGGCAAATGGTAGATACTGAATTGACCAATCAGAGCGCGCGCTTTACTTTGGTTATTTTATAATTGACGTTGGGTCACACAAAAATGGCCAGGCGCTCTGACACAAAGAACACTTTCAACAAGTTTTTCTCATTTTAAATGCTTTTGTCCTTTCATAGAAAAAACAATTTATGTAGTAATAATATGTAATTGATTAGGCTGTCATAGCTGATGAAACTTTTTGTCGTTATCGCAGATTTGTTTCTCATCTTCACACTGGAGCTGAACTCAACCTATCTGTTGTTAAGATTTTGTGTCTGGTCTGCCAGTCAATAACCGTTCAGAGGCATTTTGTGAATCTCCTTACTACTGATCAGGTACGACAAGCTCAGTTTTTCTGAAATAACAAAGAAAACTTCAACAGTTATATGACCCCAACAGCCCCGCTCATGTAAAACCTGAAAACAAATGTGTAGAAATCCAGGCGGGTTGACTTACTTTTGTGTTCATTCGGATGGGGCCGTGCGGGCTTCCGCACCTCTGCCGCAGGTATCAAATGTTTTTTGTTTGTGTAATTGAATATAAAAGAAAACAGTTAAGTAGCGTTTTCGATTAATTTTGAGTTCCCTGCTCCGTCGAGAAAAATCATAATAGTAAAAAAATTACACGTATCTTGGGCTGGACTGAGGATTATGTGGCTCTAGGAAGTACGAACCTCACGGTTGACAATCTGTACGTCTAGACCCTGAGTCGAATATATGTTCCCTTCCGGGGCTCTCATAATCGGTTTTCACGACTCAAACTACACTTAAGCGCTCGATTTATAGGTAACTCCTCCTTCGGCACAGATGATGACTAACTCAGGTTATTAAAACTGTAATAAAAAATCACTGTCATCGACTTTAGTCCTTTACAGGACCACACCCACCTGGACTAGTAGACTGTACGATCGACTGTTCCTTTTGGGTTCAATTTTTTACTGATTGCTGTATCGATACTAAATTGTTTTACTTTTCACTGTCCAATGATTGAAGCAAAAAATGTTTTCTTGACAAGCATTCAGTGGATGACTGGTTATTTCAGCCTTCTGTACAAATTTACGGTTTTCTTATTTGGGGTTTATTACTTTCTGTTTTGTTGTCTTCTAGGTTGCCGCTCAGAAAATACTTATTGGATTTGTTGATCAGTTAGAAATCAATGAACCTGAAGAAAATCTCGGAAAAGATGAGCAAGAACTGAGAATTGGTAATAACTGATTCTTTGAATTAACTTTTTCTCAGTCGCGTTAGAAGAGCGCAATCAAAAGTTGCATTATTTGGCCCTTTGAGCGAGCTTTTAAGGACCGGCATGTTATAGTTTCAGCTCCCTTAAATGAAGTATTCAAATGTTACAAATGGTTCATTTTAATGTTGTGAATGCAAAATTTGAGCTGTGCCCCGACATTTCCAGATTCTTAGTCAACTTAGAGAACCGATGCTGGAAACAAATTCTTATGGCTTCTCTACTGTTTACTCTTTAGCTGAACATATGCTATCGTGTTTTTTTTTTTCCCAAGGAACTATCCAGAACTGTGCTGTTGAACATTTGTAATCCTTTTATTCTTTTGTAGAATTCGTAGATGAGAGCTCGTTTGGAATATCACAAATTCGAAATGCTGTCAGGCAAAATATACTGAGATTGGTTCTTCATTCTCTCCAACACCCTCCACCCAATCTGGCTCACTTTTTGATGGGCTTTGAGCTCAGAAAACCTGTGCCCAAGACCAATCTTCAGGATCCCGGTAAGTGCAAATCTAAAACGCCTTAAGGGTTGAAAGTTGATCTTGCCTGGACAGGCTCCGAATACTAATTTGCGGTAGGCACTATATAAGTTCTAGAAAACTGGCAATTACGAGCATATGTGATCCATCAGTTGCTGTCAGACACCAAACTGATCTTACGTCTACGTTCTTAGAGGGTAAAAGGTGCGTTCAGAGTTTCAGAGTAACCCGCAAACGGCAAATGAGTTTTTAGCTACGATAGAACAGAAGAATCTAATAAATTTGATTTTGCATCACTCTGTTCGTTGTCAGCCGTGGCGCCGGAGTGGCATGCGTGAGAATGCGCCCCCCCCCCTAGGCTCTGAGGCACCTGTGCAAATGAAGGGGGAGGCATGTTCTCGCGCATGCCACTCTGCCATATACATGTACATATGCTGCACAGGCGAGCGTGTATTGGGCAATTTTTTTTTTTTTTACTAATTTTAACTTGCTCAGCAGACAATCTATGAAATAATCATTTTCTTTAAAAAAAAAAATCAAATCAAGGTAAAGCGGTCTTTAGTTCCCTGGCTTATATTGGTATATTTTGCGACTAAGCTATTGCATTGAAAGAAAATGGTTTGCTTTACTGGGTCAGAATATAATAATTAATGACAAAACAAATTTAAAAACTTTCAACCGCCTTAGCATTTTCGAATTTAAACCTCCACCAAAAATAGGTGCCAAGCGAGGATCATATCGACACATATCATCCACTGGTAAAAAATTCCATTTATTTCATGTTATTTCTACAATGTATTTATTCTGGTACAGGTGTTCTGGGTGCTTCAAAGACCTGTCTCCACGCAATACTAGACATTCTGAACAAAGGGGTGGATACACATCATGGTCCTTTATGTGTTAAAGACACTCCAAAATTCACCGAGCTTGCATATCAGCTTGTATACAATTTGTGTGCCAATAAAGATACCGCAACCCCGACACTGCGCTACCTGAGAACAAGCCATGATTTCCTGTACCGGCACCTTCAACATTTACCCTTTCTGAATCTTGCAAATATGAATATGGGCGAAGGGCAGCCTCCTGCTGTAATACTTACCATCATCAGTCAACAGTCATGGCTTCTGAAGACTGCTGCCATTGATCTGAGAATGACAGCTCAAGGACGACAAAGATCACATGCCCAGAGGCTCCTGATGCTGTTGGTGGGTGAGCCATCAGCTCAGACCCTGATGGGTAAGACGCATTCACCAGAGTTAGTTCCAAGGAGGTTGGAGGATGATTTCAGTGCAGCTGACACGAGCAATGCTGTTTATCCTGGCATAGGACAGACACAGACCAGGCGGAAGCTCTTAACCATCCTCGAATCCGTAGAGTTCTGTCAGGATGTGCCTCCACTCTTACAGTTGAATTATTTTGATCTGGCTGTCACTGAGAAGGCCATTGCCTCCTGTGAGCAGAAGGCAGAAGATAGTGGTGTGACATTCTGTAATGTTCCTGTTCTTCATAAACTACTGATAAGTGAGATCAGTGGGGTACAGGGGACTGCTACAGCTGGACAGAGAAACTTCTTGTTACAGGTTATTGTTGTATTTTCAAGGGGTTTTGTCTACATACTCAGTTTTACGTTTTGGAAACTTTTTACGGAGCAGTTTTTTAGTTTATTTGTTAAGTTCACTTCTTTTAATTCCGTAGTTTTGATCATAGAGGCGCCATGGGTTGAGCTGTGCCTCTTCTTTATCTTTTGTTGTTTTGGATTGTACTAATTGTAGCTGTGTCTGTATTGAAAAAAAGGAGGTTAAAGACATTCTTCACAATGTCGTGGTGCGGAACATGGTACGAGAGAGTTTGCACATCAAGAAGGAGGCATTTGAAGCTTGGAGACGGGTTACAGAAGTGACTCTGGCCTCGTGTTCTGCTGATATCTTACCAAAAGATACAAGGCAGACCGTTATATCTGAGGTACTACAGGATTTACTCTCCAAGGTATGTACTCCTTCTACGCCTAAAAGGATTGGCACTTAATCGAGGGGGGCTCCTATAAAGTTAGCGCAGCAATAGGATAAAAATTAAAGAGAATATAAAGCACAGAAAGGAACTCTCTAAGCACTTGGAGATAGAAATGAATGGAATGGAAAAGAAACTATAATTCTGAACTGTTTCCGCTTTAGTTGAAGTTTAAAAGTTTTAAATAAAAGTGTAACGGTAAAGGTTTTCCTTGTATCCCTTCTGTTTAAGGAGGAAATACGGTATGTTATTACTCGACGTTTTTACAAGACCTTAAGTTGTAAGAAATTATAAAGAAATCCTCTAAAGTACTTTTGCAAGGACTGACAGATGATATCTGTCAGGGACTATATTTGTAGCAATTAATTATCATTTGTCTTTCAGCTTAATGTCTGTTTTATTAACCAGCACCTCATTGAAATGAATCTGAAACCTTTTAATTGATGGACTTAGATTGCAGACGAGAATTCGCTCCCAGAACTTACATCACCAGTATCAGGGGTTATCTTGACTCTACTGGCGCATTTACGTCAGTGTACCATTCCTACTGCGCCCTTATCCACACCTGGTGTAGACAGCGCCAGAGCAGGCATACCTGTCCGTCCTCAAGCTGTGAACTCTCTTGCTGTTGGTCCATCTGTAGCCATCTTGAAGGGCCTGATAGAGACAGTCTTGCGGTGTGGAGGAGGATTGCAGCGGGTCAGGGCAAACCTGTACGCCGCTCTGTTGTACTTTATGCAGACCGCGCCAGAGTCTGAACCGACCAAAGAACGAGGTTAGTTACCTCACTCAGGTAACTTGTGCTCTTCTCTTCAGGACTCAACTGTCTTAAAGTTGACGTTTATAAACAATTCAATTTTATTTACCAAAGTGGAGGTAACTATCCACCAGTTCCACCGACACTGAAGTGATATTATTGTCTTTTGATACTAGAACCAAAATATAAAATATATTTTTGTCAACGTAACGAAGAATTGAACCCCTTGATGCGCGATTCGTCTTCTCGGCCGCGCTGAGGTTAATAGTAGTCGTTAATCACATCAAAGCTAGCCAATCAGTGTGCGTGAAAAGCACTATTCATCTGCATGGTAAGGTTACAATGCTAATGCTTTCTGTTGATGGATGTGAGGCGTCTCCACAAATCGTAACACTTTCTTCCAGCTTCGGCCGCTGTTGGGTTGATTTTGAGGATGTCAGTTGTTGTCAAGTACTGTCAGTGTAAACCACCCTGGTGAAGAGTGCTTTTCGCGCGCGCTTATTGGCTGATTCGGATGTGATTAACAAGTACTATTCCCTTCCGAGCAGCCGAAGACAAAATCGTTCATCAAGAGTTTAATTTCCCACCGTTTTTGTGCATAGAACTATTCACAGAAATGAACTTATTTTTGGTTTCTGCGCGGTTTATACTAAAACAGTTCACAATGTCTTTGAAAGTGGTAGATATTTACTTCGAAGCTTCTCTGCTCTGTAAATATCCACCGGTATTAGCCTCCACTCTGGTGTTTAGTATTAAGCTCGATTGACATTTATTTTAAGATAGGTAGGATATTGGAGTGAAGAGTACAAGATTTTTCTTTTCGCATCTTAACTAGATGTCATACTTGCAGAAGTTCGAGCAGTATTGTAGTTGTTCATTACGTTTTCATATACACTTAACACTAAATAATTGACTATTTCAGGTGTCATGGAAAACGTATTATCGTTATATCCGGGGCAGCCGTGGGACACCAGTATTCTCCCGGTTTTGTCTAGTTATGGTGAACCATTTATGGACACAGTCTGTAGAGATTCTTGCGATGGACACGATGTGGGTCGGGTAAGTATACTGTAAAAATTGCACTTTTTATATTCTTAAAAATTCAGGGGATTCAAGCTCAAGCGCTTTTTGAGACGCACACTTAAGCATCAACCAAAATACCTCAGCAGACATTAGCATTTTTAATTGTTTGAAAACAGGATGACGCAGTTTTCAAAGCAGTGACATTGTAGTTAGTAGTTCTTTCATTTTGTCTCATCCTTGCCAAGCCACTCAGTGAAAAGTGTTTTCGATCACCAACCAGAGCCACGGGCTTAAGTTATGCGGGGCGGGTTATTACAACAGTTAGAACTTCTAAGGCGGAAAGAAAATAATCTAGAAGCTTTGTAGTGTAAGATTTCCTGGCCGTCTCTTTCCATTCCTTTTACTGAGATCATCTTTGCTATTGTTGTCGTTTCAGATGTTAGCGTTTTCCCTCCTTGATACAATAATTACCGTTGACTGGCAACATCGTTGGTTAAATTATCTCAACCTTAAAGGCTACCTCAAGCACATGGTGGACGCTTTAGCACACGAGGACCATATGTTGCTATCAATGTTGGACCCTTCACCAGAGCCCCTCAAGGTAATGCTCCGCCAATAGAATCAGTTCAGCTCATATTTGAGCTTCTGTGCGTCTGTATAATGCTAATGCTTATGGTTACTCGAAATCTGTCTCAGGGTGCACTCGCTATCCATGCAGCACTTCATACTGTTAGGATCCACTTAAGCTCTCTCAGACAGCGAGGACTACTTGTTTTGATATTCTGTGGGGATTTGTTGGTTTTCAGCGACTAGGACTGGCGGAGTTTCGTTGTTCAAAACTGTGGAAGACCTAATAGTTGCACCTTAGTATTGTAAGTTAGTAAGTTAGCGCTTAATCAGTCTTCCTCATCCCCTGGGGAACTTGACCAATGAAACGTGCCTTTCTGCATCAGAATTGACTGAATCTTAGACGAACAAATAATGATGAGTTTTAATACTCTCATCACAGTGAACAACCAGGCGTCTTTCCATAACTTTTACTCTCTTAATATCAAATCAGGCTTTGTACATCTACGAGTCCAAGATGGCTCTACTAACCCGTGTGGCACAGTCTACGGAAGGCGCTAGGGTCCTTCTTCAAGCGGGGCTCTTATCACGCCTGGCAGAATGTGCCTTTTTGGATCACAGACCCGAACATGACATCGCTCAAAGGCTTATGTCCAGTGACGTGTACACTCATGATCAGGATACGAGCGCTGTCCTTCATGAATCATTTGTGCCCACAGTGTTAGAGAGATACAGACAGTTATTGATCCCTGCTTTAAAAGTATCACTGGCAATGCTGACATCCTTGGGGTCACATAATCACAAAGAAGTAGCTTCTAAGGTAAAGTAGAGATATAAACCTTTTAATTAGAAACGCAAAATATCGATTGGGTAATTGATGTTTTATGGTTTCGACCCTTGATCTTTTCATGATTGCTACATCTCCATTTTTCATTCATCATTTCAGACCATGTGCTTTTCACGTTCCAAACTAATCATGTACAAATCGATTTTTATGAATAGTAACACCATGAATGAGCTTCTGTATTTTAAACAGTTCTCTTCTCTTCTAAGTGCATCTGGCATCTTGTAAGCCTTCCTCTGAAGAAAACTCGGGCTGTTCAGTTGCTTCTTCGCCATAAGACAGAATGCATGGCTGGTATGCATTATACGCTAGTTGTTTGCGCCAAAGTAACAGCAGCTTGCATAAAATATTTTTCCCCATTGTTTGCCTCTATAACTGGAAGACGTGATAGAAGTTGTATTTGGGTTCATATCTGATGCAAAATTAAGCGGTTTATTTTTCTGCAGGTTTTACACTTTGTTGTGTCACATGTGGACGTATTTGTCAGCATTCTTCAAGACAGACTGCCTGTTCAATCATCCGGGTCATTAAAGGAACTCGGCCTCGCTACAGGAATCGTGTGCAACATGGCACTCACTGAGGCTGCCCTCACTACTGACGAGGACCTTGGTCAAGAGCAAATCCAACTTAGAGGACCCCTAGCAAGGATCGAACGCCTTATGATTGGTTTGCTGCCGAGATATTGTTCAAGCGATAGCTGGGAGAAGGTTAAATGCTGTAGTTCTCTTGTTACCGAGCGAAGCTGATCATGATTCTTATAATTGTTTTCGTGTTTTATGAACGATCCTTCTCTGTCTTCTTCCTTTTTTCTATCTGTTCAAGGGTTGTTTAACGTAATCAGTCAGCAGTAGCGGAGACTAATTATCGCCAGGATTTGTAGTGTTTGTGTTGATTTAAGGAGTATTCTAACCGTTTCACGACATCTGCAGATCGTCAAATCTATGATGGAGAAAAACGGCGAGGAACCTGGCTCTAAGTACAGTGTTGTCGCCATGGAAACTCTCGAAAAATTGCAAAGAATCTGCTCAAATGTTATTGGTTACTGTAGAACAGTCATGGAGTCAGCTGGTACGAATTTTACTTTTTGAAATGAATTTTATTTCCACTACTTGATTATACATGTGGGAATGTGATCTTACCCTCGTGTCGACTTCGCGTAGACTGATTATTCCTACGTGCGGACGCTTTCTTTCCTCTCGCGTGACGGACTGAGTTGGCAAAAAGTTACTGGTTATTTTATACTTGAGGCTGTTATCCATTGCCCTTACTGTAACTATCACCCCTAGCAATCTGTGCGGGTTCTGACAGTATCTGACGGTATTCATGGATTTATACTCCATATGTGATGTAGGGCCTGTAAACAAAGTGCACTTTTTCTCCAGGTGCAGTTCCCTCGCATTGTCATGTGCTGTTTTCACCGAGTTTGACAGATTCTTTATCTCGCGATTCTCGCCTTACTAGAGAAGGTATGGAGAGTAACAACATTAAGTCACGCCCATAGCATATCTGGAATTCCATTCCACCGATAGTGATATAGAATGTAAATCTCCTTTTCAATACATTTTTTTTTTTTATTTTGGAGGTTCTGTAGCCTCCTTTTTCAACTGTCGTTTAGCCTCAGGGGAAGAGTGTTACGTGACCAACTCAGACTTTGGAGACTTAAGAGTCGGCCTTTAGTTCAGATGTCACATTCTTTTTAACGTGATCAAACCGACCTCGCTCGACTTTAAGGGTGGTACTAACCAAACATTTGAGTCGATTTACCGAGAAAGTAGATTAGAAACAGCTTGTGTGCGATCTACTGTCACTTAGATTTGCACTGTAAGGAAATCATCAAGTTTCGCGATTGTGTGAGGAATTTCAAACCGTTTAGGAGGAACTAAAAGAGTTACTTTCAGTTAGTTGTTTGGTTTTCTTTTCGTTGGTTTTTTTTTTCTTTTAATCATTTGTATTTCCCCTAGCCATTCGTTCGTCAACCGTGGCGCCTCCCCGCCGTCAGGTCAGCCTTGGTCTGCCTGTGACTTTTATGAAAAAGTGTTGCGATCAGGTGTTTCAGGCGGCTGAGTTGTTGTCACAGACGCGTGTGAAGCTGCAAAATGTGACCGACCTGACAACTGAAGAACTACGAGAGGTTTGATTTCTGATTTCAATTATAGCTAGTGGTCAGAAAAACTAAGAATCTTCGGATATCTCTGTTGATGTATGTGTGAAAATTATAAGTTATTCCTGCTCTTCGCCAATTACTTAACTCTAACAGGTTCTTTTCTTACTTTGAATGTGTAGCCAGGTGATAGTCAGGTTTCAATCAATCAATCGATCAATCAATCCTTTATTTAAACACGTGACATCTAGGAGTACAGAAGTTCTCGTTAAAACGTGGACGTGTATGTACAATTAGAAAAAAAACATAATTTCTGTAAGAATACAAATAATAAGTAGATCTATTAAATAACTAAAAACAGGATGGAAGATCATAGACAAGAGCTATCAACAAAACTTTGCAATATTAACAAATTAACAATAACAATATTTACAATCACAATATTTACAATCACAATATTTACAATCACAATATTTACATTCACTACCGCTAAGCCATGTGGGCTTTAAGAAAGGATACACAACTTTTGGGATACACAAGGTTTGATCATCGTTTTCCACGCTTTTATAAGAGTCTCAATTGGGTGATAGCATTTATGGCTTATGGTTAAAATTTTGGTCAATTTTTCGGCTAACGGTTGAAATCTTTTCATCAGTTCATTATGGTCACCATTAAAGAAAATATATATATATATATGGTTAATTTTTTCACGACTAATGGTTAAAATTTGGCAGTTTTTACGCCCAACGGCTCAATGTTTTGGCTGTTTTACGGTTAATGGTTAACCACATTGTGACCCTCTTTAATGCTTTCAACCCAAAAATGTGCCAGAGTGAATAACTCTGGGTTTTATGTTCTCCAATCCTATAGTTAAACCAAGCTCAACACGGCGGAGCTGTTCAAGAGAGATTATCCACACAGCAAAGACACCAACTGGCACAGAAATATCTCGCTCAGATTGTACAGGGCAAGACGCAGGAGATATCCGCTCAGTTGTGTATCCTTTGATGCCCTGCAAACGTTTTGGAGGCCCGTTTGAAGGGAAATCCTCTCTAAATGCGAGTGCCTTGCTCTCCAGCTACCACCAAATCAAACACCACAAAATAATAACCTCTGGTAATTAAAGGTGGAATTGCAGAGAAAGAAGTTTTTAAAAAACTTCAGGCTTGGTGGAATTCGAAGCTATGCCTTCCCGATTCATTTGGGACAATCTTACAAATTGAATTATGAAGCTAAGTTCGTGCAACTAACAAAGCTTGCTTCGCTCCTAACCCGCTTCAGAATGTCATGCACTTTTAAGAAAACGAACGTTTCCTCTTAATTTGCTCAACAGACATTATTGAGAATTGTTTATTTATTCTCTGGCGTCACTTCGATTTCTACTTTTTGCACTGCATCCCGTCGGATGAAGAACGACGCATGCTCGCTGGACCGCCTCTGATCAGCAGTCAAATGAGACGATTGCAAGGTACTGTTGTTTTGTGGTTATCATTTTCGTCCTGATTGTGGTGTCTTGTGACAACGAGCGCATAGCAGGCGCTCACTCGATATATGTGTCTTCTTAACAGTTTAGATTCAACACCTTGTTTCATTAATTCGTAAAGGGCTTGTAGACTTTGGTGCAAATTGGTACATTGCGAGCGTTACTTTGAGTGAAAAAAAAAATGAATGAATGAATGAATAAATTACATTACTGATTACAAATTAAGTGACAGTTTATTCTCAGTCTTTTTCGTGGCAATTATTTGGTTGCCTCACGCATACTCTGCTGCAAAGACAGAGTGTTGTTTCACAAAGCTAAAGAGGGGCCGTTCAGGACACTAACATATATGGTGTTAAATATTAAGATAATTGTTTTTATTTGTTTTTCTTTTTCTTTTTTTGTAACCTCCCATCAACCATCATGCAACAAGGGCATTGATTTTTTTTTCTACAGAGAGACAGTCACTTACGGGAGCTTCATCAACATCAAATCCTGCTTCAGAAGCAATGGGATCGGGAGAAATTGTGACACGAGAGGACATCGACGCTGTGAGTATTTATTCGACCACTTTTACTCGTTCTTTCATTCGTGTGTCGTTTCTCTGGCTTTCTCAACCCCTCCCCTTTCTTCGCCCCTTTTTTATGTTAGTTATAATTTTCTTGTGTATTGCAGCTCAAGAGAGAGGCAGCTAGTGCCCTTACAGAGACATTTTTGAAGAAACTCGTTGAGATTGAACAGGTACGTAGTTGGGAATTCCTTTTTCTCCTTTTTTTTTTTTTTTTTTTACTACTGTCTTCCCTATTTTCTGAGAGTGATTTGTGGCTGGACGCCCTGTTAAGGTAAAAACTGCCTCCTTTCTTGGTCTCGTTGTAGAAAACATAACGATCTGCAAGTGAAAGAGGAAATGCGTGAGCTAATATGTACAGTTCATTCTGAAGAACCCCAGATATGTCGAGTTCATAGTTATTTTGAATTACTTATACTAGCAGTGGATTTCGTCGTTTTTTTGGGCAACAAGTTTACACTACATAGACTGGTGACTTATCTAAGATAAAAAACTTCATAGAGATAGCCAGTTAATAAACCAGATTAGACAAGAAACATTTAGCTGAGAGCAATTCTTTTGCTGAATCTCATGGTAATTTCTCTTCAGGATGTCCGAGCATCATTTGCAGTCATCGACGTTAGTGCTCTGGACTGCCACTTATGTCTCACCAATGCACTCCATCACAAAGGAGTGTTTTTGCAATCTATAATCCTGTGATTTATTCTGTTCTTTTGTTTTTCTCTGTTTTGTTTTTTTGTTTTGTTTTGTTTTGTTTTTTGTTTTTGTTTTTTCTTTGATGTTGTTGTTGCTTTTTAGACGTACGGAAAAAGAAGAACGCGGTTTGGATTTATCCAAGTTCTCGTCCGACGTATCAAAGGACTCCTTCAGAGAACGCCTTCACGCTACGAGATGACCAGCGGATCACGTTAAGAAGACATCGAAACAAAGTGTCTGCCAACTTATTCATTCCCCCATTGTTCATCGCTTACTTGTCAAAGGCATTTTCCTGGACTTTGCAATCGGTTAAGAACTGTTTTTGTCGGTTGTATGGGTGACTTTTGAGCAGAAATAGAATAGTCGTTCAAGTCATGTACCACTAAGAGCAGTGTTAGCCCAAAACTGTTAATCCTTTGCGGATTTGCAGACTCTTACGACGACATGACGTGACAACCCAGAATGCACGTTTGACGTTTTAGTGTGTGGTTAAGCCAACATAAACGGATTTTTACAGGTGGGATGTGGAGGGGGAAGTAAATTCAAACGCGAAGTGCGATCAGTATGATCCGAAGCAGTGCGCTTGGCTCACATCAAAAATTGACTCTCGCCGGGTATACAGGTAACGTTTCGTTCGAACTACAGGAGTGCCTTCTTTCTTCTCCATTCCCTATCAAACCCTTTTTGCAGCTAGGAGGAGTAGTCCTGGTCCGATAGTGAACTTTTGTATGAATTTAGAACTGCTTTTTTTTATGTCAGATCTTTCTTTGAATTATAACTGGCAAAAAGTTTGTACCTCTGTATATAATCACATAGTTTTGACGTACTATTTAAAATAGCGAGGAATAAAGGCGTAAATAAAGCTTTCCTTTACAGTCTCCGTTTTCTTTCGCATTTGGCCAACCCTGCTTGTTCTGTGTCGTAGTTTTCAAATCCTTAGAGAGTAAAGTCGGTGTCCAGTTGTTTGACCTTGATTTGTTTTCGTAATTTGGATATCCCTTGGATATTTCAAATCCTTAGAGAGTAAAGTCGGTGTCCAGTTGTTTGACCTTGATTTGTTTTCGTAATTTGGTAAGATTAATATATTATACCCCTTGGATATGAAATGAAACATCTAGAAACATGAAAATAGGGGGGAAAAGTCATAAAGCGACAGGATCCGAGTTTGTCGCGAAAAGAATTTCTTCATGCTCTACCCGACGCAAATAACTTCAACGCAATATGGATCAGTTTTCCTTCTCTGGAGCCTGTTTCAAACTCTTCCACATGCAGTTTATGACACTATTTTTGGTGATGTGAGTGGAATTTTCCTATAAAAACTGGTGAGAGTAGCTTGTTGCTTCCAACTTTGAGGTCATCATTAACACGCGTCGGGGACCTTTAGAAACCATGACGGCGACGGCAATGAGGACGTGGAAAAATAAGAGATCTAATTGGCAGAACAATAGATCAGCACGTGCGTTTTGAAACTTTGTACATTTCTTAGCCGTCCTAAGCAAAACAACAACGTGAAATCCCCAAAATTTGCGTCGTCTGCGAACTGAAACCGCGACGGCAAATTATTGTAACTTCCATTTGGAACTCAACGCCAACTTTATACGTCATGCTGAAGTTGAGTTGTGGCGCTGTATGAGACAGTAAGCTCGTGCAACCATTTTTGAAATTCTAACTAAGAGTAGAGATTCATTTTTTAATCGAAGTCTTCCTTGGCGTCGTCGTCGTGGTTTCTTAAGAAGACTGTCCCTAATGTCACGCAACGGAGAGAAAGGTCTCGCGTTGTCGGACGTCTTGTGCAAGGTACATGACATAGTTGTTAGATCTATTAAATTCCATGCGGGCTCAATCATTGTTGTTCAGTATCTCTCCTTCTGTTGTGATTTCTGTTTACACTCCAACTCGAACAGCTGACTGACTTTTAGTATGGTTTGATTTAAAAAATTGTAATGGAGAAACTTACTAAATTCTTAAGTCGTTAGTATTGTTGAAATCCCCCTCGTGAACACCCCTAATTTTGAGAAAAAACATGAAGTAACGTAGAATGTCAATGGCGGGGTATCAACGGTAATCTGAGGTAAACTTCTTTGCATTTTCTTTAATATGCCAATACTTTATTTAAAATTCGGTCCTCTATGATCGGATTGGTTCAGTTGTGTCCTCTATAATCGGATTGGTTCAGTTGTCAACTCGATTTTAGCGAAGTGAATCCCTTGTCATGGCTAAATCATCACTTTGAAATTTACTGAAATGTACAACGTAGGCAGTTGTCGGTTACTGTGCTCTTCCTGAAGATTTGAGCTTAGTTTTTCTAGTGATCATGTCGTCGTTGATGATTCTGTACAAAACACGATTCATTTCTGTAGTGGTGAATGCTCAAACCAATTAAATATATGAGTATGATTTCCACACAACCCCATAGACAGGTACATACAGTTATTGAATTAATATAGAAAAGAAAACAATGGCGGTAGCAATAGATTGCCTTTGGGACTACAGCTTTGTTTTAGAACAGAATGGGGCTGTGCAGAAAAATTATCAAAGTTTGTAAGGCTCCTTTAGATACTTATTTCACTGTCTGATCTTCTTTGTAAACATTAACTTGTAAGATATGGCACTGACACAATGAGCTTTTGGCAAGGCAATTCCCAACCTAATCTCTCAGTAACTGGCACATCGACATCACGTCATCAAAGGCCACCTAGTGGACGTCGTGCACAACCTGGTAGTGCTGGGAGAGGAGGGAGCACAAAATCTCACATATTTGGTATTGATGATAGCCCCAGACAGAAAAACCCTGATGCTAACACTACAGTCAGTTCCCATGGAAACAGTATTAAATCAAGCTCAATCCGCACCACACCAGAGGCACCACGCCCTGTAAGTGGGCACCCTCCAAAGAAGGCAGCAGGACTGACTTCAAGTGTAAGACTATTTACATTGATATGCATTAGAAATAAAAAAATGCACAATCTGATTGATAATGCCACAAAGGGGTTCAAGCAAGGATGAAATTAAAATTTTTATCTCCAGAATTTTGATTTGTCATGGTTTATTTGTTTCAATTTACTATGTAGGGAAAATATTTCAAATTAGATAATTTGCACACCTCATACCTTTGATTGGTAAGACTGATCCTATTTCAAGAATTCTACTTTCTACCAGCTAGATGCATTCCCTATAGTTAAGGAAAATTTGTTGCTTCATCGATCTACACAGAGACAATAGTCAAGCTGATACCAGATACTAAAAAAAAATTTTGAGTAACTGGACTGTGTTATAATTTAAAGAAGTATTTTGTCAACCTTGTGATACTTTTGTCTTTTTTGAAACATCCGTTCATTTGATAATGTTTCAACATTGTCTGTAGAGGTTACAGTTCAATTTTCTCTGGCTTCTAAAGTATCAAAACACACCCAAGTATGATTTTTCCTCTCAGATCCATTATCTGGGGTTTTAGAACAATGTGAGTCTAGAGGGCCATAAATTTTGTGTTTTCTCCACCATGGATTACCTTAGTCACATTTAGCGTATTATGACACTTGATGGGTTATCAAGTTTCCCAGGGAACTAAGGCTCTGGTGGACCTCAGTCACAGTGCTAATGACTATAAAGGAATAGCATACAGTGTACAGTTACATAATCTGAAAACTTAAGAAGACACCTGAATGGTTCACAATGAATTTATTTAACATGAGGTAATGTTTAGGTTTATGAATATTGGATGTTTTGAGTTATGAATCTTAAGAGAAATAAGAAAAAATTTATATTTCAATCAGATGAGAAAAGTTCACGTTGAAAACCTGACTATGCCTCTGCATGTCAAACATCTTAGATTAGTATTATTATTCACAATATTCAATTAGGCAGGCCTTTGATTGCATAGTTATGTTTTGAGTATACAGTAATCACCATGGTATTGGAACTGCTCTCTTTTCCAGGCTTCAGTGATCACAAAATCTCAGTTGGATGCTGCTAGAAACTTAGCCAAGGTCAATATTTTTCAGAGTCATGTAACAGTGATAAATGTTAATTATGAACTTCAAGATATTTCAGGGGTCAACACTAATGGTAGCTAACTAGCCACAGACAAGTAGAAATTCAGTTTTGGCTACTGGTTTTCAATTTCTACTGGCCTGTCAGTTTGGCTAATAATTTGGATATATCAACAAAGTTGAAATGGTAAATTGGCCTCCGTAACGATTACAAAAGCTGACGTTTCGAGCGTTAGCCCTTTGTCATTCGCTCCGACAAAGGGCTAACGCTCGAAACATCTGCTCAGCTTTTGTAATCGTTACGGTGGTCAATTTACCATTTCAACTTTGTTGATATATCCAAATTATTTCGTTAACCCCACCAACGCAGCCCCAAACAGTTTCTTTAGAAACTATCCGCCTTTATCAGTTTGGCTAATAAACAAACTGAAATTGTTCTAATGTCTAAGTTGTTATTAGCCACTTGGCTAGTAAGTTGAAAAGTTAGTGTTGAGCCCTGTACATATTTTAAATAGGCTTTTGTAAGAGAAAAGATCAGCTATGACAGTCTTAGAAGTAATACATATAAAAGTAAGGTTTGTATAATATATTAAAATATAATAATGTATTATAATATAGGTTTGTATTGTATAATAGACCTTCTCAAAATGGTAGCTGAAGGATTAAACCACAAACTATTAGACTGTACACTTCATTTGTACCAGTATTTATACCAGGATAATAATTAGTACTCCTTATCATAATCGTACATAATTTCATCAACTAAAGCTAATTGTTGATTCAGTAAAGAACTAAATAGGTACTGCTACCAATAAGACAGAGTGATTAGGGATTTGAGTATTTTTTTGTTGTGGCCTTCCATTCATGATTATGTTGCACACTAAGTCTTGTAATGTTCATGGCAATTTTTTTCATTCCTGCAGATGATTTGTCTCAACCTTTGTTTAAGTAGTCTCGATCATTCTATCATTAAATTTCTGGAGAATTTATTTTTAATAATTTGAATTTAAATGCATCTAACGTTTTGGTCATTCAAGTATTAAAATGTAACTTAATCAAATTTCTTCATTTCTCAATTGTATCAGTTGATTAGTAATTTAATTTCTTTTTCACTTATATTGTTTCTTTTAATTTTACATGACTTTTATCTCTTTAAGCTCCCTCTACAAAAATGCACCCAAGTTTTGATAATTGCCAACAAAGTTCAAAAGATTTGGAAGTTTTCTTTTAGGAAAAAATCAAATGTTAAGACTTAAGTGTAAATTGCCTCTAAATAATTATTGAAGTATAGATTCAGTATAATTTCTGTTATTTCTGTACTCCTAAGGAAAATCCAAATTATGCTGATCAGCCAAGGGAGGTCCAAGTTTTCTCAAGGAGTCACATGGGTGGAAGAAAGGCACCTCAGGGGTACAAGAAAAATTTTGCAATCTTTACTTGTGTGTGTTTGACGAAGTTATAACTTTTTATCAAAAAGTGATTTTTTTCCCTGCAATTTGAATTTCAGGGTACCTCAGTTAGACCTTGGAAATCTTGCCGATGATAATTACCAGGTATTGTGCATGACTTATAAGTGTAAATAGAAAAAAGTACTATAATTATATACAGTCTGTTCAATGACATTGTACGGAATATTTAATAAGAAATTCATTCTGAAGCTATATATTTTATGCACAACATATACTTAAATAGTGCTAACCTCCAACCTACAGATGGGGATGTATTTTGATGCTTTAATGGCCAGAGAAGATCTATTTGTAACCTTTGCAGACAATGTTGAAACATTATCCAATAAAGAGATGCTTTAAAAAAGACAAAAGTGTGGCAAGGTTGTCAAAATAAGCCAGCAACTGGTGAATTTCACCCTCTGCTCTGAAAAAATGTGCTGGCTATTCCAAGCTCAATACTTCTGGCCCAATTTCTGCCTATTTTGTAACACAGTTTAATAACTCAAAATCTTGACTATTCTCTTAACACCATTGATTATTTAACATTACCTGAAAATGCTTTTTTGTCAAGATTTTACAGATATACTTCATTTTTTCCTGACCCCTTTTTCTCTTAGTTTTTTTGTTCTGTCTTATGCAATCACTGCTGCATTTTTTTAAACAAACTCAGTCTGGTAATTAAAATTAATTTTTAGTTTAACCCTGTTTGGATTTATAAAATTTTCCCCTTTGTTTATACAATCTTTTTATCAATTTTAGTTGCTTGAACCAATAGAACAGGATGGTCCCCATTTACACACACCAGATTCCAATAGCAGTCTAATCAGGTGAGATTGCATTAATTTTTAACCATTACGATACAACCTTTCATGTGTTAAGGGGGTCTAAAGAAACTGTAACTGGTGCTGCATCAGTGGGGGTGACAAGGTAATTTGGTTTTATCAACTAAGTTGATAATGTAAATTAGCCACAGTAAAGAGTTTAAAAGCTTACGTTTCGAGCGTTAGCCCTTCATCACAGCATATCCAGTCTTATTTGGTTAAATTTCATTCAACCATAGATGCATGCAATGAACCTCAATGCATAGCATGTTCTTGTGGTCAGCTGAGAGACTCACAAGTACAGGCTTATGTGGAATAATAGCATGGTCATGGCAGCTAAATTTCTTTCAAGTCCTTGAGCAGTTATTTTTAGCAATTCTTTCCCTGACCCTTACCCACCCTTTCTAGTTTTCTTTTTGCTAACTCAGGTAGGGTTGATGAGACAGTGTTTTATTGATGCAAACAGCTGGCGTGCGGGGGCTGACTGGCAATATTTAAAGGCCAGGGCTCGACACTAACTTTTCAACTTACTATAGCCAAGTGGCTCGAGAAATCTTAGATGTTATGACAATTTCAGTTTGTTTACTAGCCAAAGTGGCCTGTGAAAATCAAAAATCACTAGCTAGCCAAAACTGAATTTCTACTAGTCTGTGGCTATAGTGGGCTACCATTAGTGTTGAGCTCTGAAGGCATTGGATTCTTTGGGCATCCAGTTAATATTGATCTTTGGCATCATCAATCAACATAAAAGAGTGTTTATTGATTCTGAAGAGCATTTTTCCTCATTAACTCAAAGTCTAACAGTTACCATAAACCTTTTACATGTACTGTGCACTCGAAATTTCCCAAACTTCATTTTCATTCAGTCATGTAGTTGGAAGTTCCCATAGAAGTTGATCACGGGTTTTATGCAGCGATCTGCTTTAATTTATTTCCTGGAGCATTATAAAATTAATGGACAAAATGGCTGTAGTTTAGATGTTTATGGCTGAAATATACTTAATTTCTGAACATGTTCGTTTTGAACCTCTCGTAGCTGGGGAACTCCTCTTCATAGCTCAAGATTTCACCCCAGTCCAGCAAAACCTAAAGGAGGGGGGTGGCAGCAGGTAATTGTAAGTCTAGTCATGTAACTAGTCCTATTGTTGCAAACTGTGGCATATTTCTCTGAACTTGAAAGAAAGAAAGAAAGAAGCTGTAGGAAATTGAGTTTCAAATTGAGTTAAACATCGATTTCTACTGGGTTTGTACTAATTATGAAGAACAGGTCATGGTGGTAGTTTTTTTCATGTCCTTTCTTGCTAGCATTATGGTCCATAGCATGCAACTTAGGTAAAAATAGCTCTAAAAGCTGTATGAAGCTAAGCTAGAGTAAAATTTACTTTTTTACTCTTACTAGTGTTGCATAATCAGCAATTCACGCCGCCATTTAGATTTATCACAACAGAATCGTTGCTAATTAGTGTGTATTGTAATGTCACGGTAATTATATGCAAAATGCCCTAAGGTATAAAACACGTGAATTTTGACTCTACATTTATTATTATTACTTGGATTAGTGTGTGTGAAAATAAAGAACCTTATTTTTACAGGACCGAGTAGTTAACAACTATTAAATAATTTGTGAACAATTTTTATCTAATATTTACAATCAATGTTGTTTTTACCAGTCTCCAAAGTTGCACCCTAATAAATTATCAATTTTTACAATAATTTATATGGAATGGATTCCAACATTTGAGAAGGAAATGATCTTCCATATAAAATTATTGTTAGTAGTTAAGTTTTATGCATTAAATTATTAGATTCATTACATTTAACAGGGTCATGGTACACAGTCACAAAAGAAGCCAGGGGATGACGTACCTCCTCTTGATCTGAAGAAGTCACAAGGAAATGATTGCTTGCAGAAGGTTTGACTATTATATTTCAGTTGATATTTATGGTACACTCCAACAACATCAAGTTTATGATTATATTACTCTTCTTAGAAAAGTGGTAGACACGATGGCAAACCATTGGCAAAATCATGATCATGCAGCCAGTACCAATGAAAATAGGTACTACTGTGGTACATGCATCAAGCAGGGAAGGTGCTGCTGTTCTCTTGTGACAATGCATATAATACAAATCCCTCTGTTTTTTCCCAAATATATATTTAATTAAAAGGTGTTTTGCATTTATTTACTGTGTGACAAAAGATATAACTGTGTGTTAGTAACCACCAGTACATCAAGTTTGAGGAGTTCTCTTAATAGATGGATAACAAGGCTTTAATTTAGATTACATGTAGCATTAATTTTGCTCTCATCTTTGTACTAATTTCTTCTCAGGCTTTTCAAGCAGGCCATGATGTGAATAGAGATGTCCATCCTGATGTCAGATTTGAAGAGAAGCCATTCAAGGTAAATCAAAGGATCATCAATTTAATTGTCTCTTAGATTTGAAATACAATCTTTTGACACAAATTTTTTTACAATGTAATTCTTGTCATAAGCATAGATCAAAAAAAATAGTTAAAAAAATCATCTGCTCTTGACCCAAGTGTCCCTTTCAGTCAAAGCTTATCCCAGTTTTGGAAACATAATTAAGTGAATGTGAGACAGTATTTTTAATATCCCCCAGGATAAAAAGCCAGTCAATTATTTGTTAACCCCACCCCCTACCCCAGAATTCTATCAGGTTTCCCTTGAAGTTTAGTGGTACCCATTTATATATTTTACTCCTGGGTGTCTTGAAAACCAGACTTAATTTGCAAAACTTGTCACTGACAGAGTATAACTGTAACAGAACCTGATTTGAATAATCCATACATGATGAATTCATTTTGTTTTGTAGATTTATGAAATACGCATCATCTAGATTCACACTGAAAACATCAATCCTTGTATGCATATGTTGAAGTGGACAATGTGCACAATTGCTTGAAGTGTTAAAGACCACAACTGAGATGTTACTAACAGCTAATAGCCTGTAACAACTAACTGACTGAGTGTACTGTATAATTCAAGTGTGCTTTGTACAGTTTTTACATATTTGGTGAACAACCGGTAGTTGCTTTGCATATCTTGTACAAGATCTGAGAAGACCATAAAGAGTTTAAAACTTACTACTCATTCACTATCCAATACCTTGCAGCAATACCTAGAAGCACATTCTTAATAGTAAATTGTACTTTTGTCCTAAATATTTAAATACAAAATTTAATCTTTTTTCAATTTTTTGCAGGTGGATACCAATAACACAAGGAAGTAAGTTCACATTGGTCAAAACATCATTGTGTGTTTTCTGCCTCTTTAAATTCACATGCACTGAATCATGATGATATTATAGAATGCAACTACTGGTCTAAATGTGTAGAAATTATGACTATAATCGATGATTAATTATTACTGGTGTTTAAACCCATTTAAGTTGTGACTGGAAATTTAAGATTGTTTTGGAAAGACCACATGATTATTTTACAATTTTGGATCTCAATTGTTGTTAGTGCTATAATTTCATGAATCCATAAGGTGGAGGTTAAAGGTACAGTAACTGGTAAATGATTTCTCTAACAGACCTTTCCTTTCAGATAGAGTTTGACTTATCTTTCTCCAATATATTGTCTTTACCCAAGCAGCCTGGCCAATAAGCATAATAGACCATGGAGTACGCAACCACACACACAGCGAGAGCTGGCTCAGCTTAAGACAAGACAAGAAAGGGTATTGAGTATACTAGATTTGAAGGATATTAAACACTGAGTTCTTCAAAGCACCAGCAGCTGGTGTTTTCATGGGCTGCTTGTACCAGAGGTGCCAGCAACTTTATCAGACAAAGCAGGGATAGACTTGTCATGATCTGAAATGAATTTCAGTCCTTTGCTACCTAAGGTTTTTTCTTGATTGGCCCCTTAAAAAATATCTGAATGGCAGTCTTTGCTATTTCATTTACATTGGGTTTATTTTTATAGACACATTTTCTGTCATCGATTTATTATAATTTGAATATGTATTTGGCTTCTTGTTGGACCAGAATAAATCTCTTAACAGAATAATTATAATATTAATTTTATGAGAATGAAAGATTGAAGTGATCTTTTGGCAGGCAGAAAAGGTATATGACTTGTATGATGTAAGAAATTACAATAATTTGTTATTATCACTTGATTTGATGATTTAATTTTAGGAAATTTTGCACTCAGAAAAGAAGAAGGATTTGATTGCAGAAACCGTTCTGGTGGATCAGTTGTCAAGGTACATGTAGAGTGTGCAATTCATTCCATCTGAGGGTTGTTTGTTAGGGAACTGAGAAGTTAAACATGATTGAATGTTTTATTATACATGTATTTACCGCTAATGTTAAAAATTAGTACTTATAATTATTGGCTAAAAGTATAATTATGACTGTATCAATTCACTGTTCATGCTATGACATGCATTTGCTCAATAGCAAAATTAAGACACTATCTTTTATGGCTCAAGCTTATGTCAGCATGTTCATACCTACCCACATCTAAACATTTAATCCATTGACACAAGAGTTTCATTTCCTTCTGGTTCAATTATGTTAGTTGTGGGGAAGCAGGAAAAGCAACTGCATGGTGGGATATGATTAGTCAAGAATTGTCCTAATTTTTGAGAAGCCCCAAAATGTTTGTCTAAACCTAGAAGGAATGCTGGACATTGGGAGATCACTGTCTTGATCTCATTCAATCATTTCATGTGATTGCAAAGAAAAGAGATACCTTTCTTGTACGTGCTACCACAAGTCATCATTTGTGAATATGTTTTGAAAATTGATGTGAAAATTATGGATTCTGAGTTTTATTTTTTTTTGCTAAAACCTCTAGTTAGTAATCGTAGAGGTTTGAACACAAAATGCCACTTTGGAGAAAAAGGAAGATAGGGGCTTTTCATGTGTCATAATATTATAAATATATACATGTCTTACTTTAATTTATTGCATAAGATGTTCTTTTCTTTCTTTGTCAGTATCTCGGCCAGTACTAGCTAGGCATATCAATTAGTTCACTAATTATTATATTTTGTTCTGGAATGACGGTTCTGCATAGTCCTGTTGAGGCTTTCATTTCTGTCATTCACAATGACTCTATCCATAATAATATTTATTTATCAAAATTTTCCATTACAACTAGGGCAACTGTCTCTGATCCAGAGAAAAACAACAGCACTATTCCTCCTGATCTAGGACCCAAACAGCGAAAGCAAATGGAATTCTATAACACAAGGTATATTAGAAAACTCCCCAAACAGATTTGAGAAAAATCTGTATGTTAGAGAAAACATTTGAAGAACTGGTAATGCTTTATATGTGTAATTTTTTTTTTTTTTTTGATCTTACACTGTATGATCATATTCTTTGGCTAGGATTCTTGCATTTTTCCTAACAGTTAAAACTGTTTCTCTCAATCAACAAGCAATCAGTTACATGATTGTATGACTTGTTCCAACAATGTTTTAAATAACTCGCTAGAAACCACACATTATTCATTTGAAATTACTTCTCATCAGTTAGTAAAGAATGTAGGAGTCACTATAATTTTAAATTCACTCTCTGTCTCTGAGGATAAGAACATCATATCACAAATGAACAGAGTGGCTAATGTGAATCTGTTGCCAAAGTCAAGAGTCATCTTGTCTCTAGTGACCCTCAAAAGGAAGACTGGGGACTGCAGACAATATTCATCTTTGATACACTGTATAATTCACTGATGTTGAAAGGCTTGAGTAAAAGTTGCCCTCCATCCTTCTTCTCAGGAGTCCTTCCAAAGGTCCAAGCACAGAAAATTCCCTTTCCAAGAGGGTGCGTTTTGGAGCCAGAATTGTGACTAAGAATGGTCGTGACGCTCATAGAGAACTGAATGGGTTCTTCTTCTCAGCAGATGGAACACTAACACTCTATGAATTTCACCAGTTTGGCACAAGGTTGATATTTGCTTGAAAGTGTATTTCATAATTGACAGCATAAGGACTTAAACTGTTTGAGATTATTATAAAAGCACTTTCACTAAGACAAACTTTTGCACTTGGTATGAGTTAAGATTAAAAATTGTTAAAAATTCCTATGCACCTCTTTTTTTCATTTTCAACATGTTGTTTCCCTCCTTTAGGTCATCAGCACTCCCTTTTATTCAGCGAGGATGTTACAACCATGTTCAGGGAAGGAATAAGGGAAAAGCTTACACTCTGCTCGATATTCATGTGGTATGTCCTTTTAACTGCTACTAACAACTTGTTAGCCAAAGGAACCCTAGGAATTTTTTAGCAAATTTGATTTTGACACAAAATTATCCATATCAACTGATAATAATAATAATGATTTAATTATAATAACAACGATAATCAAACTTCAGTCTATAGTGCTTAATATACATAGTTGTTCAAAATGCTTTGGGTCTGCACCTTTTAAAGTGCAAGTAACTTACTATACCTATTTAATTAAACTCTTTAACTCCTATGAGTGAGCAAGACAGAATTGCTCAGTACAATACCAGTAGTTTATCAAGCAAATAAGTGATGAGAATTAAGAAAAAACAAGAATAAGGGAATTATTTGTTGATCCAATACCAAATTCTCTTAACTAACATCATAAGAATTGTATGGAAGATGTTAAGGAGAATTGTGAATAAGATCTTGGCAGTGAAAGGGTTAGGGAGGAAAACATGGCTTCCCCAAAATTGGGTGTTGTCCCACACAGGGTGAATCAGATTTCTAAACACTCAAAGACACTGAACTATAATTATCTGAAGAATCAATGAAATACCACTGCTGAAATGTTGACTGTTTTGTTTTCCAATTTCAGGGCAGCAATTTATCGTTTTTGACGTCTCAGCAAACATCGCTTCCCCAGAGCATAAGAACCCAACCATTCGTGGTGTTTAGAATTTCTGAGGTTGATGAAGAAGCCAGAGAAGCACAACTGTAAGTGACAGGTCACAGGAAAATCTAGTTACATTAATATGTTGTTCCTTGTTCTTTATAAAAAAAAAAAACACTGAAAATATGGAAAACCCTGGAGTGCAAGCTCAATTATCCATCAACGAAAATGCTGTTCACCGA